ATGTTGCTTCCATTCCCCACCCTTCATTTCATACCCTCAAGGAGTAAAGCCCTTGCACCCCACATGCTACGCTAGGTATAGCTCAGGTCATACCCACACTCGGCTTGTAGTACATCCCCATTCTTAAAATATTTAGCCTTTAAAGTCGAATGAAGAAGTGTACCCGGGTCCCGGGTAGTGATGAAGCCTCCAACATTGTTTTGCCATTAAAGCTTGATTAAAACACCGCATATCTTTACAACCCATACCACACTAACTCTTCGGAAGGCAAATAATTTCCCATCATTGCCAAAGCAATTTTTTTCCCTCACCAGAAAATCCCCACAAAAATTGAGCAAGAATAGAATGGATTTCATCAATGATGCTATCCGGGATTTTAAAGATACTCATCATGTATGTCGGAATGGCCTGAGCAACCGATTTGATAAGAATCTCTTTACCCGCGGCTTCGATAGTATTTTTTTCTTTCCATCCTTGAAGCTTCTTTCAAATCCGCCCCTTAAGAGCCGCAAAGATAGCCTTTATCGATCTGCTAATAATAGTAAGGATTCCAAGGTACTTCTCATGTCGATCTACCTCACGAACACCCAAATTATCAATAATCTCCTGTCGTTTGCTAGTACTCACCTTTTTTGCTAAAAATCACTTTTGTCTCACTAAGATTGACACTCTAGCCGATGCTCTTTCATATTTACTAATAATATCAGCTATCACTAAGCATTCTCTAACATTAGCTCTAGCAAAAAGGATACTGTCGTCGGCAAAAAACAAATGAGATCCTCTAGGCGCCCCTCTGCAAATTCTAGCCCATGAATAAGATTTTCCATAGCATCTTAACTCAATACAGTAGAGAACGCATCGGTACACAAAAGGAACAAATACGAAGAAATCGGATCGCCTTATTGTAACCCCCTCGCAAGAGTCACCTCACCAAAAATTTGTCCATTAATTTTAAAAGCAAATTTCACACTCTCTAGACAACACATAACACGACGAATCCAATTTACCAAAATCCCATCTCTTCCATTACCCTGACCAGAAACACTCACTCCACTCGGTCATTGGCCTTACTCATATCAAGTTTCAAAGTCATCGTACCCTCTTTGCCTTCTCCACCTCTCTTCATAGCATGAATGATTTTGTAAGCCACAAGAGCATTATCACTAATAAGCCTATGAGGAACAAAACACTCTGATTTTGTGAAATAATATTTCCCAAAAACACCTTCAATTTATTTGCCAAAGTTTTCGACACGATCTTATATATATAACATTGCAGCAACTAATTGGTCGATACTCTGTAATACTCTTTTGGGTCATCACATTTAGGGATTAACACCACACAAGTGTTATTTTACCTTTGACAAATAAACTTCACCCCTTCACCATTTTTTTCAAAAAACTAATAATTTCAAGACCCCATTATGCCAAACTTTTAAAAAAATAAAGCATGCATACCATCCGGTCCCGGTGCTTTATTTGGGTGCATCTGGAACAAGGCCTATTTGATCTCCTCCTCCGATGGTTCACGGTATAAATAAGTATCCATCTCACTCGTCCCAACCTCATCTATGCTTGCAAGAGCATCCTGGAAGCCCATGGGAGAACTCGTGGCAAACAAGTTTGCAAAGTAAGCTTCAATTAGTCGTTTAATATCCACTTTGTTACTGCACCAAACCCATCATCATTCATTAGTCCAACGATTCTATTTCGAGATTTTCTTTGGCTAGCTTATGGTGAATGTACGAAGCTCATTAACCCTAGCTTAATTAGCCCTTGTATGCCAATTACTTTATTCAAGCATGTAATGAGAATTAAGCTCCTTAGTAAGACTCAAACAATGCTCAAGCCGAGCTCCATCCATAGTACCCTCACGCAATTCCACTAGTTTCTGTTTAGCAATTTTTATCTTTGTTTTAATAAAACTAAAAGTAAAAGCTGTTCATCAAGCCAATTCTCACCACAGTTTGCAATCTTTTCAGCAATATTCAATCCCACACTACTCGTCCATCCATCAATAGCCAAATCATTCCACTCTTCCTTCGAAAGCAAAGTTGTTCAAACTTAAACGCCTTGCTGCTACTATTACCATTGCCTCTTTTTAAGTGAGACCAATATAGGAGCGTGGTCCGAGTGCAAGATAGGGAAGTTTCGAGCTTCAAAGTTTTGAAAAAGATCACACCAACTTGCCGTAACAAGAAATCTGTCCAATATCTCCATACATAGGTATTCATGGAGTTTCCTCTCTCCCATGTAAATTTACTCCCTTGAACCCCAAATCACGCAAAGCACAATTGTCAATATCACATCAAAAAGCATCCACGAGACTCTCTCTCCGTTGAGCTCCACCCTCATTTTCCGTCATACTCGTTACCTCATTATTAAAATCACCAAATATATGACAATAGGTACTCACAAGTGACCAAGTTTTTATGTTTGTTTGCTTGCTCTGGCCAACCGTAGATGCCCATAGCACACATTTCGCCACATTATTCTCACTCATCACATTTTCCACAAAGTGATGAATGGAGTATGACATAACATTCACCCTCAACTCCTCTACCAAAATCCCATACCACCATATATATTTGCCAATGCTACTAATACACACCCTTCTTTAAACCACATCTATTTTTAATTTTTTGCAACACCTTCTCATCAAGCATTGTCTTCAATAAGAAAAACAATATTCAACATTTCCCTCCACAAAGATCTTAGAGGGCACGAACTTTCCACGGGTTGCCAAGCCCGTGGTAGTTCCAACTTATTATTTTCATTGTTCTTCGAGGGCCCGGTGCACCCAAGTCCTCTACTTTTCTTTGTGACAATCACACCAACACCATAAGCAACTAAGCTACTTCAATTTTTTCTCACCATCCACAACATACATCTTCATCTCATTCTCAACCCCAGATTACATCTTCTTTTTTTTCCAGCCTAGCCCTGTATATCCCTTCTCACATCACTCGCATTTGACCTCCCCCTCCCCGACCCCTTACACTGTTCATTTCAGTAATAACATCACCCCCTTTGTCCTTCACAACACCCTCATTCCATCCTCCACCACATTTACCCATCACCACATCATCCTCAACAAAGCATTCCCTCTCATCAGCCAGACTTTTATTGTTCCAGTCCTGCTCCAACGGTAACAACCTCAAGACATTGTTGTTGCTCCCTTTATCACCCACCACAATAAGTCTAGTTTCACGCACTTTGGGAGGGCTACTTGCTGCTGATTTTGGAGATGAAAACATAAGTTTTCTTGCTATCCTTAAGGTCAATCCGATTGCTTGGGGTAATTATACACCACTTTGCAAGTACTCTTTTTTTGCTAAAATTCTCTACCCATTTATTTTCTTTCTCTCGCTCACTACATCAATACAACTTTCTTTGTATGGGAGGCAACAGAAACAACCATATTGGAAGACCGTCGATGATTCATCATCATGTTTCTCCATACATTCCTTATTGATATGGCCAAGTCTGCCACAGAAGTAACACAATCCCCAAGCCTCTAGTACTTCAAGCCAATCCACTTTGTCGAAGTTTTGCAAGTTTGCAATTTTAACACCCTCCTTAGTGGCTTTTTAATATTGGCCAATTAAACCTTCGCACACATTGTCTCTTCCACTCTAATGGGTCGTTGTAATCCAATTCGATAAAACTCTAGATTTTCCCCAATCTCAATAGCAAAGGTCACATGACGCATACCAAACGGAACATCCAACAATCGAATCCAAAACGGTGAACTTTGGAAACAAACATCATAGGGTTGTTCATCCGTTGTACTTCTTCCAATAGCAATAGTTGATTGTAAAAGCCACGGTCTTCCCTCGATCTAGTACTTCATCTTATCATCCTCATTAAAGAATTGGAAAATATAGATATTTGTATCAATCACACGAATGGCTACATTGTTAGATAGACACATAGATTTTTCAACACTCTTTTCATAGCCTCGACATTGTATGATTAGCTAGTCAGTAGTTTCCCAATCAACGACATAGAAACTCTCAAATTTGCCATGCCTCTTCGGACAATTCCAAGTTACCCCAATAACACATCCTCCTCTTCAGTAAGCGTGATAGGAGGGATCCTCCTTAACAAATACCTTGTCCACAAACAACAATTTAACTTCTTGGTTCTTTTCTTAACATTATTAAAGGTTTTGGTTCCTTTCTTAACGATGGGAATTTAAAATTCAAAAGCTCAATACCAGGTAAAACTGGTGAAACAAAGAAAGACATAGTGTACGAAATTAAGATGATCGTCCATTATGATTACTAATACATACATACATGGCATAATATTGACTCAACACACAAGTGGCTATTATTAAAGTGGTTATAAACAAGTATAAATCTTATAACATATCAATCATAATAACTAAAACAAATGGAAAAATGAGATTAGATGAAAAGAGGTGCGTGAATGTCTAATACTTTAAAAATGAGGTAATTAGTGGAGCTACTATTATTAGCTGAAATTAATAGTGTAACCCTAAGATTAAAAATGTAAGTTTATAAAATCGTTATTTATATAAATGTACGAGTGATAGGGCTCCATAAATGGTAGATCCTCTAACTATTATTCAGTTATTGACATACTAACAGAAAATGGAGTAGAAGATAAAAATAAATATAATCCTGATAATAACTTTTCTTTTCTCAAATTATTCGATTTTGGTTTGGTTTTTGGTAAGATTGTGTAATTTCTTAGGGAGGCATTCTCATTAAATAATATATATAGGGTTTACAACCTAATCATGAGAATAACCTAAAATAAACAAGATATATTTTTACAGAATATTTACGAGATAATATAAACATATTATCTAACACAGCAGTCGAAGCGGGAGGAGGTCGATGCTGAGACTGTCTCTGAATCAGAAATAGTTGGCGGAGGTAACCTTTGTGAAATATCCGCATACTGAGATGAAGACGGAACATGTAGACCTTAATCTCACCAAGAGCGACTTATCGCGTACAAAATGAATGTTCATCTCAATGTGTTTGGTAGTTGATGTTGTACCGGATTAGAAGACAAGTAAACGGCGGAGATATTATCACAATAGACCAAGGATGCCGTCGATAGGGCAATGTAACTCAAGAAGTAGATTCTAGAGCCAACATAATTCAGAACAACATTAGCGACACCTCTATATTCTGCTTCGGCACTTGATTTGGACAATGTATCTTGCCGTTTTGCGGACCAAGAGACTAGATTATCACCTAAATAAACACAATAACCTGAAGTGGACCGTCGAGTGTCCGGGCAGCCTGCCCAATCGGCATCAGTGTATGAAGTAAGTCTCGTAGGTGCAGAACGGTACAAATGTAGGCCATGATCATAAGTGCCTTTAATATATCTGATAATACGCTTAAGAGCGTTAAAATGAGGTTCCCTGGGAGCATGCATAAACAGACAGATCTGCTGGACAGCATAAGCAATATCAGGTCTGGTAAAAGTAAGGTACTGAAGAGCACCTGCAAGACTCCTGTAAAGAGAGGGATCCTTCATTGGCTCACCATCATGAGCACTAAGTTTCGACTTAGTGTCGACTGGAGTGATAATCGGCTTGCAGTTGTCCATTTTTTCCCTGTGAATAATTTCCTCTGCATACTTACTCTGACAAAGGATCATAGAGTCCTTTGTTCTGGTTACAGAAACCCCCAAAAAAACTCAACTTCCCCAGATCAGTCATGGAGAATTCGGACTTGAGAAAGAGCAATAATATCACACTTGAGTTGTTCGGAGGAAGCTGTAAGAACAATGTCATCAACATAGAGCAAGAGATATGCAACATTAGCACCATGTCGCAAAATAAAGAGGGAATTATCACTTTTTCTGCAAACAAAGCCAATCTGCAAAAGATAGTTAGAAAATCTTTGATACCAGGCCCGAGGGGCTTATTTAAGACCATAGAGAGATCTGTTAAGCGGCAAACATGTGTGGGAGCGTCGGGATTTACAAAACCCGGTGGTTGATGCATATAAACGGTCTCTTTTAAGTCACCATGAAGAAACGCATTTTTAACATCCAATTGATGAATAGGCCAGTCCCTACCCAAAGCAATACTTAAAACAGTACGAATAGTCGCCGATTTCACCACAGGACTAAAAGTCTCGTCACAATCCACACCAACCTGTTGAGACTTGCCATTCACAACAAGTCTTGCTTTATGTCTCTCCAATTCACCAGTTTCCCTGTATTTGTGTTTAAATAACCACATACACCGAATAATATTCACCCCTTCTGGTCTTGGAAACAAGATCCCAAGTGTGTTGTTTAGTAAGAGCATTAAATTCCTCATTCATGGCCGCATTCCAATTATGATCAAGCATGGCAATTTTCGAATTTTTAGGCAAAGGTGAAATATCGGGTATTGACACATGAGCTTGATATTTTGGATTTGGCTTGAATATTCCACACTTGGCACGAGTGGCCATAGAGTGTGAAGGGTGAGGAGTGGGCCGAGTTTGGGAAGTTTGTTGGACCGGGGTCGGGGAGGGAAGAGAGCCGAACTGAATTGTTGGGCTAAGAGGAGAGGCGTGTGGGCTGGTGGGAGAATTGGGGGGAGATGGCATAGGAGTCCGCGGCCCAGCTGCGGTATGAGGGACTGGGCCGCAACCAACCTGCGGACTACTCTGCTGGGTTGGGGATTGGCGTGGAATGGTGGGAATTGTTGGGGAAATAGGTGGGCCATGTGTTTTTGTGGGATTTGTGGGCTGATTTGTGACAAAGAATGCATGAAAATGGGGAGCATGGCAGAAGCATATCATTAGCATCCAAAAAATCATAGTCTTGATTTCTAAAATTTGAGGTTAGCAAAGGGAAAAAATATCCTCTACAAAGGTTACATGACGGGAAATCAAGATTTTATTAGTGGACAAATCGTAGCATAAATACCCTCTATGGTTAGATGGGAACCCCAAGAAGACACATGGTACGGACCTAGGAGCAAGTTTGTGAGGGGCCGTAGCACTTAAGTTTGGGTAGCATAGGCAACCAAAAATTCGTAGGTGATCATAAGTGGGCGTCCTACGGTAGAGAATTTCAGTTGGAGTCCTATTTTGAATGGTTGTTGATGGTAAGATGTTTAGAACATAAGCAACCATGTATGGCATATACCCAAAAAGGAGGGGGGAGAGAAGCATGAAAGAGGATGGTCCGAGACATGTTATTAATGGTGCGAATAATTCTTTCGGCCTTGTCATTTTGAGAAGAAGTGTTTGGACAAGAGAGACGAAAGACCATGCCATTATTTGCACAAAAATTGCGAAAGGGGGAATTATCAAATTCACGACCATTATCACTTTGGAATGATTTTATGGCTTTTTCGAATTGTGTTTGAACATATGCTCGGAAATTAAGGATAATATCAAAGACTTGTGACTTGTATTTAATAGGAAAAACCCAAATAAAGTGAGAGAAATCATCAAGCAATACTAAATAGTATTTATGACCCAATTTGCTAGCAATAGGAGAAGTCCATAAATCCATATGAATATGTCAAAAGGGGAAAAAGTAATAGAAGTAGATGACTGAAAAGGAAGTCGTACATGTTTTCCCAAGGACATGAATAGAAAAATTGAGAACTATTTCTCTTATTACATTTAATAAAATTGTTCTTCCTAAGAAAATTAAAAATTGGTTCGCCGGGGTGTCCAAGTCTAAGATGCCAAGTTGAAGGAGAAATAGCAGCTAGAGATAGTTGACTAGTGCCATATGCAGCGGAAGAGTTTGAGAAAGGATAGAGGTCCCCCACACTATTGCACCTCGCTAGAGTTGTCCCGAAAGAAGGTCCTTCACAGAAAAACCGAAAGGGTCAAACTCAACAGAAACGGAATTGTCACAAGTAAATTTTCTAACAGAAATTAAGTTCTTAATTATGTTAGGAATAAAGAGGATATTTTTGAGAGAAAAGGGTGGATTAGGTGGGGGGTAGTAAACATGTCATAGCCGTTAATTGGAATACGTTTGCCATCACCAACTAAAATAAATTGAGGAGTGCTCAAATTAAACAGTTTAGAAATGTTACCCGAGTCACGAGTCATGTGTGAAGTGGCTCCCGTGTCCATGTACCATCCATTGTCCGTCGGTTGAAGACTCATGGAACTATATGCTTGCCCCAAATCCTTAGGTGACATAAGTGGACCGTAAGAAGACTGGCTTGGGCTTGCATAGTAGGCCTGTTGGGGAGGGCGGCCCAAAATCGAAGGACTGGACCCTCTACTTGACTGTTGCTGGGCCGTTGGAAATGGGCAGGGTGGTGAGGCCCACTGCCCGGGTTGCTGTTGCCAGGATGGTTGGGCTCCCATTGAGGGGCCTGATGCCATTGAGGTGGCGGTTGGGCCTGTTGGGCCTGCCCCCATTGAGGGGCCTGTTGAGCTTGCTGCTGATTATTGTTGTTGTTAGCCCGCCCCCGACCACGGCCTTTACTCTGCTTGCTGCTGCCACGGCGCGGCCGCGACCCTTGCTGGTGCCACGCTGCTGGTCTGCTGGAGGCGGCTGGGTTGCGCCGGTGGTGGTGCCGGTTTGGGCCTGCGAGTTCTGGGCCACAAAGGCTTGGCCTTGTTCCCGTTGCGTGTTCTTGCGGGTTTCTTCGAGAAGGAACATAGATCGAGCCTTGTTGAAGCTTGGAGTTGGTTCGGATTGAGATACTATGGCAGCCACAGTATCATATTCACCTTCGGTGAGTCCGGCAATTAATTGCATAACCATCTTTCGATCTGAAACGGGACAATCAACATTAGCAAGTTGATCCGCGAGAATCTTGATTTGCTTACAATAATCAGACATATTAGTATAGTGCTCGAGTTTGGTATTCGAAAACTGCTCCTCCAAATACACTGCCCTAGTATGCTTATTGTCATGAAACAACTCTTCGAGTCGGGTCCATAATTCTTGAGCCGTAGCACCCGCTTTCATGATAGTATTAACAAGATCTTTGGATATAGTGCTATATATCCATTGCTTGACAATCGCATCTAATCGCTTCCACGTATCATCATCAATATATGTCGGACGTGTAACCTTCGTGTCAATATGATCAAGCACGTTGCAAGCACAAGCTTGAATTTGGAAAAGTTCAACCCATGTAGCATATTGGGAGTCCTCGTGATCAAGAGTCACGTTCATAACAGATTTGATGTTGTTAATGGCATATATCGGGTGAAAAGGAGTGTTTTTGGGAGGAGGAGGAGGAGGGGGGTTTCGTCATCACCGGGCATGGTGGTGAGTTAGGGACGGCTAAGGGAAGGTGTAGGATCGTTGTTAGGGTTGAGAAGAGAGAAAACCCTAATTGGAATCTGATACCATGTAAGATTGTGTAATTCTCCTTAGCGGAGGCATTCTCATTAAATCAATATATATAGGGGTTTACAACCTAATCATGAGAATAACCTAAAATACACAAGATATATTTTACAGAATATTTACGAGATAATAAACATATTATCTAACAGTTTTGATATTATATAAAGGAAATAAAAGTTTAACTGTGATTATATCATTATTCTTGAATCACAATTTGCATACACAAAAACAAATGACTAACTGAAAACGACTATATGTTTGAATTAACATATTTCACTTACTAGTAGAGCTAGGCATCGTGCCGTGCCAAGCCACCGTATGTCGTGTCTCGCCATGTCATAAGGTGGGTTATGTCGTGTCGTGCCGGGACTGGGTGATGGCGGGTCGGGCCGGGCCACCATATGGCACACCCTAACCAACGGCACAACACTACCCACATGTGTGGCGGGCCGGATCGTGTCGGGCTAGCCCCATTAATTTTATTATTAATTAGCTAACTGTAATAATTATTATATTTTTTTATTTTTATTATTTATAGTTCTGCACATTATTTTTTATTTATATCTATTATTTTTATTATAATGGGTAGTGTTGGTGGGCGCCTGCGGGCTCGTGCTGGGTTTATGCAAAAAAAATCTTGTTCACGGTACGGCCCACGAACCACCCCTAGTTCCTCGTGCCATGTGGGGCTGCTAGCTAGCGGCTCGTGCCGCCCGCGGGCTGGCCCGCCCATGCTCAATTCTACTCCCTACTTAGACCTTATTCTTTTGAGCTTATGGGCAAAGCATGAGTTAGCAGAGCAGAGCAAATCTCAGCAGAGCAAAGTAGAGTAGATTGCAGCAGAGCAGAGCCGAGCCGAGTAGAGTAGATTTCATAATTATTGTTGTTGTTGTTGTAGTTATTATTATTATTATTATTATTATTATTATTATTATTATTATTATTATTATTATTATTATTATTATATCTCAAAAACAGATAAAGTTATACAATCTATAAAAAATTAGTGGGAAGCCGAGATACAATCTGGGCCCCTTCCTCTAGCTATAGAAAAGCCGATCCTAGTAAAGATATGAGTTGCAGCTCGTGTCCCAATATCCTGAGTCTTCGAGAACTTCTGAATCCGCTTCAGCAATTCAACAACCTCTTTTCTAACTCTCCAAGAAAGAGAAAGAGAAAGAGAAAGGAAGGAAACCATATCCAATTGTTCGACAACTGGATTCGTACTTGACCCGCTTCCGATTGGCCGCATCAGTCACAACCCGTCTCGGAAC